CGCCACCCACAGGCATCTGCTTCCAATGCATCCCCAGGACTGCCCCACCCATCCACACCCCAGGACCCCACCACTTAGGAACCCCCCTTTTTTCTCAAACCTGCCCTGCCACACACTCTTCAACTCCACCATTTTGCACCCATTCTCCCAAAGAAGACACACGCACTTGCCTGTCTCATTTCCCTTCACCACAAAAACCAGGGGCCATACTAGGTCTCTGGCCCACCTCCCACTGGCCTTCTCATCCCCCTTGGTAGGACTCCAAGCCGTGTGCCCACCTCACCTCCCACCACTGTGCACAGGTATCATACTACATGGGATCCACATACAGCAGTGCTGGGAATCCCCGCACAAGACCCAGAGACGTGGGGGGTCTGACCAGCAGCTTAGTTCTGCTATGGCTGCTGCAAGTTATTCTAAGCTCCAGGAGCAAAGATGTGAGTATCTGGCAAAAGTCCTCAGTTTGATCAGGTGATCTTTGTATTGTAGCATTCACAGTTAATGAACCTAAAGTAATGTGATGGGAATGAGGCTAAAGTAGAAACATTTCTGGAAAGTAACTGGACTTTGCAAGAGCCAGGGTTAAGCAACAGATTTGTGCAGTGGGCTGGCACCTCACAGTGTCCTGGGATGTCTGAGTCAGCAGCTGGACCTTGGAAAGAGGGGGAACCTCAGATAATACAGCTGGTCAGCCAAGCCCATGGAAACCACAACTGTGGGAGACCACTGCAGTCCAGGTGGGCTCAGTGATCCAAAGCCTAGTCCCGAAACTAGGCCTGCCAAGCACTGTTTTCAAAATGCAAAGAGTGCCAGCTGAATTCCTGTGGGCTTTTACGAAGGCTCTCCAGTTGCACACACAACACTTTCCTCTGCCATAACAACTGCAAGCCTCTGATTGGTTTGCAAATGTTGCTATGGCTCTCCTGATCCCAGAGATTATTCATAGCAATGTGAGTTACTGTGTCTGGCTACAAGCTGCCTGGAAGGAAATCCCTGTGCAGGGCTCAGTGCAGAGCTGGGCTTGCTCAAAGGCCATGGGACACCTAACATCTTTTATTAGATACACCACCAGCAACACCCTTCCTAACATACATCCCTGGGATATAGAGATACAGAGGGCTATCTTTCCTCAGCTCTCCTGTCAAGGAATGCAAACCAGAAGATAACCCAAATGATGAGATCCTGGTGGACCCTGGAAGTGACAGTTGCCACCTCTTCAGGGTCACAGCTCTGTGGTGGGACTCAGGCTCTGCCTGCACCAGGGCTGTGCAGAAACAGCCTGTCCAGGACAAAGTTGTTCTGCTGACCCTGGCAAAGCTGAGTCCCCAGCTTGGAGACTGCTGGAGGGGTTCAGCATGTTCCTCTGCCTGGAGCCTGGTGCCTAGGGTCCTGCACTGCTTTAGGCTGGTGTCCAAAATTTCAGGTGGCAAGAAAAAAATGTCAAATGTGGGAATTAAATGGACGTTTTAAAGTGTTTCATGGGATTTTATGCATTTGCTTTGCCATGGGGTTTCCTCATGCTGCAGACCAGACAAAGAGGAAGCAGTCCAGTCTGCTGATCTGTGGCCCCCCTGGTTAGTCAAGATGGTCACACCATGATTCACACCCTGCCCCTCACATGAGCTATCAGCAGGCAAGAGCATTTTAGGAGACTTTGCCCAAGTAGGGTTGTGTAATCTAGCCAAGACTTCCTCAAACACTCTTTTCAGAGAAATGTTATGCAATGATCACTCCTTTACTCACAAGGAAAGGATCCCAGTGTGAGATAAAGAAAGAGACTGGCTGAGCCTGGCAGCTTCTGTAAAGAAAAAACAGAAAGCCCAAGTGGCCACTTCATGCAGAGCTAGCTTGCTGTACCCAGCAAGAGAATCTGTCAATAATTCACTGAAAAAAATGACACCAGCAGGTCACATATACCCTGAAGTAAAAGCCACTGAAATCAAAGGCAGTTTTTTGTTGCTGAGGCTTTTGGGCCTGGTCGCGCATCAGTCACCAGTTGGGCTTTGAAACCCAGCATAAGCCTCGCTGTTTTCCATAGGCTTGTGGAGTGATTTAGGCTGGCAGAGACCCCTGGAGGTTGCCAGTCTAAGCTTGCTCAAGTGGGGCTGCCTCCCAGGGTTGCTCAGGGCTTCACCCTTTCAGAGCAGCAGGTGTCTGAGGCTGGAGATTATGGAGCCTCTCTACAAACCTGGTCTGGCATTTCAGTCCCTTGAACTGTGAAAAATGGTTTCCTGCTATTCAGCTGATGTGAAGACCCAGCCTGTCCCATCAGAGTCCCTCCTTGGATGGGTGTTGCTGCTGCAGGACACTGGCTGGCTCTGGTGCTGCCTATAGTGCATGGAATCACAAACTTGGAAAATTGCTGTTGTCTCCTGTCTCTTTTGGAGTATTGTGTCCCTAGGAAAGAAGAAGCCTCTGATTCAGAATTGCCCGTGCTCTTGGTACAAATTGCTGCTTTGGTCAGGACTGTAGCTTAAAAGCTCCTCTTCCTCTGCTGCTCCTCCATCCCTGTTGTCACAGGGATGAACAAAGGAACAAGAGGCCTTCAGCCTCCTGCCCTGAGATGGCCACGGCTGCTCAGCACTTACCTTAAGCCATCCTGGTAAGAGAAGATGCAACTTGCACAGAGCTAAAATGCTACTACTTACTGGGTTTTCTAAAAAAGTGCATTATTTCCAACACCAGGTGAACTGCTTCCTGCTTTATCACTAGTAGAGAAGGGAGGGCAGTTGCATGTTCTCTGAATAAAACCATCCATGTGGATCTGCATATTAGGTTGTGGAGTCTCCTTCACTGGAGACATTCAAAACCCACCTGGATGCGTTCCTGTGTGATGTACACTAGGTGACCCTGCTCTGGCAGGGGGGGTTGGACTAGATGATCTTTCAAGGTCCCTTCCAACCCCTAGGATTCTATGATTCTATGCAGAAACAGTCAGCACCCAGCCTGTTATGGAGGCCGGTCGTGCTTCCTGCCCTCCAGGTCCTCTCAAAGGAAAGGTAGTGAACTGCTGTGTGCTGCAGGATGTTGCATGGAAACACATGGCAGTTTTGGCACAAGCAATGAGGACAGGAAGAGCTGGCTGGTGGGGATAACACTCTGTCCAGGGATTATGGAAATACACAACTATTCTGCTCAGAAAAGGTTTTGTAAATAACAAAGCCTCAACTTTGCCCTGTTCTGTCTAGTGATAACAATTTGCAAAGAATCCACCAGTTTTCTCTAATTTGCAGAAGTAATTCCTGCAGTCCAGTGTTCTAGGAAAGGCACCCTAAGCAGCTGCATGCCTGCAGGAAGAGCAAGGGTGGCTGTAGATGGCTATTACACCACAAGATCCTCTGGTGTAAGACTGATGACCTTGCACAATCCTACAATTATTATCCTAAAATCATTCTCTCATCTGGTTCTCTTACCATCCCAAAATAAACAGCCTGCCATGCAGGCACTAAGCATGTGTGGTGCTATTTGGAGGACTTAAAACATATGTACTTATCAGTAAAGGTAAAAGTCATAGTTTTTTTATTCTGCAGGGCTGTTCCCTGAGTGACTGCAAAGGAAGTGGGTCTCTGGATACAAACTGGAAATTCAATGGGCTTTGAAGGAGTAATTTTCCCTGTACATTCACAGATGACTGGGGGCTCTTGGTACATGCTTTTGTGAAAGCAGCCAGACTGCCTCAAAGCTGTCCTGTGTGGCTAGCCCTTCCTCCTGCAATCAGGGGAACCTGCAACACATTCAGCTGCTCAAGAATTGCATAATGCCTTGTTTTTAGAGTTCTGCTAAAAAGCCTCCAGCTTTCCAGCTGAAAAGAAACAAAAAGTAACTCAAAAGCAGCACAGATCTGAACTTTCAACAAGTCCCAAGGAGCAAACTTTCATTTCTTAATTCAGTAAAGCATAATTCCACATAGATCTACCTTTTCCCATCCATCCTGACAGTAGCTGTACTCTGGAATTTCTCTCCCAATCATTCAGCAGACAGCTGAAAGCATTAATGCCCTGGCTTAATCTGGCTCTTCTTGAAATAAAAGTAGTTTCAGTTACACTCTCTATGGCACAACCAAGAACTCTTCCTATCCTGGAGAAAATTATTTCATTTTTGCTGAAGTTTGTCCTTTGACAAAGGTAATTTTGCATATTTTAACACACTTCAAAAAGAACCCCAAAGTATTTCTGTATCCAGTCTCCAAATGTAAAAAGGTATGGTCAACCAAGAACTATTTTGAATCACCTTATAACTTCTAATTTTCCTCCTGCTTGTCATTGAATGAGTCATCTCAAATGTGATCTTGGGCTTTTGATTTTTTTTTGTTGCTGTTGCTTTTGCATTGGGGTTTTGGGGTTTGTTTTCATTCTTACTGTTTTGGGGAATTTTCTGAGATTACCTGTCTTATAAAAAGCTTACAGGGGATAGATAACCTTTTAATGTAATAAAATTAATTAGCTCACATTTGTTTTCAAGACAGAAAATGTCTTACACAGTAGTACCCAGGAGGTTGATCAAACTGTCACCTTTATTTTTATTCACAGGCAATTCCTGTACTCTCTGACTTCCCACAGGTTTGTATGTATACACATTTAATTATAGCATAGTGGTGCTAAATTTACAGCATTAGATATTTGTATTTTTCTTTGGGAAACAGTGCTTTCTACACACAAAGACTGTTACTGTTCACAGTTTTACTGTGCTGTTCATGTCTGATAATTCTTGAATGTTACTAATTTGTTTCAACTTTTAAGGAGTTAAAGCTTAAAGAACAAGCTTTGGTTTCTTCACTCCTTAACCAATCCGCAAATTAGTCACTGTAATGGACTTTTTTCAAAAAGCTGATACTTAACAATACTATAGAAACATCTTCCAGAATTAAGGACTCAATGTTTACATTTAGTACATATTTAGCAATCACTGGTAGGTGGCTCTTAGTGTTCATCCAGAGATTCTTAAGAGCATTACGCTTTGAAACAGATCATCCATCTTGAAAGCTCCAGGTGGTTCACCAAAATGCATCTGTCAAACCAGCAGGCTGTCAGCAGGTGGGGACGCAGGGAAGAGCACTGCCAAATGCTGTGCTGCTCATGGTCAGGAGCCTCAGCTCCAGCACAGCTCCAATGCAGTGGCTGACTCTCTTGATGTTGCATGCATGTAAAGTCTGGATTATTACAGTTATGAGAAGTTATCAGTTGTAGTAAGGGTTACATTAAGACTGCTGTTTCCATCAATACCCAAGGCACACTTGATCCATGGCCAGGCGTATTCTGTAACAGAAGACAATAATGGTAAGAAAATTTCCAGGTGCTTTGCTCTCAAAGTACTTCCTGAACTGACTGTAGCAGGATGCCACCAGGGGTGGAAGCAGCAGGTCTTCACCTTCTGCACTGCATGTGCACACTGCCTAAACTACTAGTTCACCCTCCCATTCCCTACCCTTCTGCTTTTCCCCCCTCTCACATCACACAGAGGCTAGGATCCCATCCTCTACCACAAACTCCCAAGACAGAATTTCAACACCACGCTCCCCTTGCCCTTACCTCACCACAGTAAAGATCACCCTGGACCATTATTTCCCTGCTTTCCCACCACACGCTCACAGATAACGGCCCTAGCACTGTATTCCTTTTCTTCATCAGAACCCAGCAATGCTGTGATATTCTGAGCCAGCAGTTGAGGTCATAGAGAAGAAAATACAGCAGTTCCCAACCTTGCTTCAGTACGAGATCATACTGGAGTTACAGGGCAACACCCTTGTCCTATAAAATGCACCAGCCATGCCCTTTTATGTTATGCAGCACAGTGGGATCCTCCAACTGGCTGTATCTTCCCCTGAGGGCCTTCAACAAGGAAATTAAAGGGTTACCGGGAAACTGGATCATTATACATGGGAGGGAACTAGTAATTATATGTTTTCCAAAATTAGTATTTGTAACTTAAGAGTAAGAACTTTACAGAGCAGGACATGTAAGAAGCTCTGTAGTGTTGGGCTCCATCTACCTCTTAGCTTCTGCTTCTCTAGCCACAGTGTAACTGGGAACATCGTTACCTGTCAATGGAGTATCCTCCTTCACAGACGTTGACCAAAGCATACAGCTGTCTCAGTGCATACTCATACTGAAATAAACATTGTTAATCATTTCAATGATGAAGAGCAGGTATTGCTTATCCATACTAAATTGTGGAAGCAATGCAGAGATACTATTAACATTCAAGGTGGTTATTTGCTCATCTTAACATAGGCTAAATGGATCTTTCTTCTGTGAACTTCATTAAGTGACTTCAGCTGCTGTTGCACACTGCCCCCTTAGGCAAGGCTCACCTATCCAATGAATTTCATTCAAAAAAAACCCACAAAAATCAAAACAAAAACACTAAAGAGGAACTGAAAGTTGAACAGAGCAATGTGGCCTCCTAATAGCCTAGTTGATTAGAAGCTTCAACTGAATGACTGCATCTGCTTTTCATTTGTATATAGCACTGAAATCTTAGGTAACTGCCAGATAATCCCATTACTTTCTGATAAAACAAATCAATGCTGTTGACTCATCCTACCACACACTATTTCCTGCTTAGGTTATCTTGCCTGACATCAGGACAGGGTTTTCTGGAATAGGATCTCTCTTATTCCTGTCTAAACAATGCTTAGCACAACAGGATTTGGTCCTCAACTGGGATACCAGGAAGAGTAGAAGTAGTAATAAAACCCCTGAACTAAGAAGTGGCCCTCAGGAATTCATCAAGACAATGGGAGTAGCAGCTAGGCTATGGAAAGGAAGTCTGCAACACACAATTATAATAGAGAAATCTGCATGTACCAGGATTATGAATTTGCAGTGGTGCTGCTGTGTTTGTGTTGCTAGTAGAGATGCTTCAAGCCAAAATACAAGGTAACTTTTACTGGCACTTCTCAGAAGGGAGCTGATGAACAGGCAGCACTAACTAGTAAAAATTAGGGAACACTTTTGGATTTTAGTAACCTTCTTGCCACATGTAGTGGAAGTGGCTTCCTGCTTCCAAAAACATTGCTTGCCTTTATCCAAAACTAAGCTGCAAGACTGCTCCCAGGTTAGCTTTTTAATAAAAGCTGATTTTGCAGACTACTGTGCTTGTTTTACTAGCACATATCAGGTGGTATCTAATGCTTGACTTACCAAGAACAAGTGCCAGTTGAAGCAATGGGCTTTGAAGTAGTTCACTGCTGACTGGTAGCAGTCATAATTGCTGATGGTCAGTCTGTCTGACAGAATTTGGTCAGTCTGTTCCTTTGATCCTGTTACTAAGGTGATGATCTTTCTCATGGATTCTTGGATAAATTCTTTCACCTGCACATAAAACAACAAGGCCTTAAAACATGATTTTTGTAAACCTAATTTGAAGACTTTGAATGAAATTTTTCTTTAAATGTCAACTTTTGGGTTCTTTTAAGGAATCCAGTTTTGCCATTTATTCTTAGCATGCTGTCTTTTGAACCTGTGTCTTAACACACAAATGAGAACTAGAGAGACAGAACACAGAACTCCTGGCATCCAAAATCACTCACTGCCCTTCTAGTGTTCTGCCAGACAAAAGACAACACCAAGGTTGGCTACCATTCTGAAGGAGCTATTTGGTTTGAGAGACTTCAGCTGTACTGAGACAAGAGTTTCTCTAATACCAAAGAATAACTGCTACCAACAAGAACCCCTATGGATGCAGATGAGGAATTTCCTAACAATAAAAGGTGTGAGATTACTTTTAAATTTGTTTACATTTGCCAAGATAATAACTACTGAATGTGCCTTGCAGAACAGAACCCTGAATTTTAAAGGAATAGTAAACCTCCAAATACAAGTTAGCTTCAATGTGCAAAACTGGAAGTAATCTCATTGGCTTCAGGGGTGTTCTGCCATTTTGTGTAATGGAAAAAATCTTAATTTTGCTTACTTCCAGGTGTGTCTTTATTGCTGCAGCAATCTTCTTAGCCTCATGAATGTTATTGGTAGCCATCAGCTTTCGTTTCATGATTGCAAGAGGCACATCAGGACTGGGTGTCAGGTCATAGTGTTCTACAGGTGGCAGAGAAATTGGGACAGCTTTCTTACCCAATCCCTGAAACTGCATCACTTTCATGGAGGAGATGCTCTGAAGGTTAGAAAGTAACAAATAGAAACTGTCAGTCACTCCAATAGGTTGTCTTCACTTTCCCATGCATACCTAACTAGCTTTACTGGAGAAAATAAAGATCATAGGATTGTGTGTGCCTATGCATGTTGGGCTGCCAAAAATAAGGGGCATTTTAATTTCCAAAACTCAGAGAGCAAAAAGTCTATCAGGTTAAGTAACCTTTTTTTTTTTTTTTCACAAATTTTTAATGTGTGCTTCTATTAACACATTGAATAACGGGACCATTATAAATGATGTATCATCTCTCAGCTCTTCCATTCAAGGGATCAATGTACTTATTACTACTTCATTAATATGATCTGCCTGAAAGTGCAAAATACTCTCCTTGCACTGAAGTGAAGTGTTAAATCACTAGCAGAGCTTGGAGAACAAGTCATGTCCTGACTCCTGGGCAAGGCTGTATTTCCTTTAGCATCAGAGCCATCATCTCTTAAATACAAAGTGTTTTTTTGAGATGAACGGTTTCATTTTCCAAATCAGCCCTGCCAATTTACAGTAATGTTTTTATTTTTATTTTTGAAGGGATGAAAGTATAAGTCACAAAAGGTTTTGAGATATATCTGACCAGGAGGCCCACTCAAACACATACCCTGTTTCCATACTGCATCACATGGCTGGTGTTGGTGCGTTTCTTCACCAGCTGAAACTGCTTGTGGAGTGTTTCTTTTCTTAGATCCTCCTGCATGAAGAAACTTCCATGTAGTCAGATACTTAAACTCAGCTATTCTAAAAATGCAAGGAAACCTGGAAAAGGTCCTAGCTGTCAGCATGTAGAATGAAGTACAGGACAAAAGCTATACAACCTTTGAAACAAATAAAAGTAAAAACTCAAAGAAGATTTGACAGCATATTCCCAAACTGCTTTTGGTGATCTAATATCCCAGCAAATGGGAAGAAGGGAGTGGGTTAGCATAAAAATGCTGGCAGATTTGTTTCATGAATACTGTTTGCTATTATGCAACAAGCAGGTTAGTCACAGTTCAGTATTTAAGGATGCCTGAAGCAGAGGTACAACTTACTTAACTGCCCAATTTGTTTAACAAATTTGAAAATAATTTCTCAAATTAGCATATCAAGATTATGTGAATTTGAAACTAGAAGTTAAGCAGTTTCTAATCTTATAAATAACAGAAGACAGTGTTTCTGAACATTAGTTTCAGAAATAAATTTAGTAGCCCAAACAAATACAGATTATATATAAATCTGAGTAGTGGTCGAATACTTCTACCAACTCCATTTGTTGATTTTAGTCTCATATAAAACCAAAGACTTTCACAAATCCTGTAAAGCAGCTCCTTTTAAAAACCTTTTTTTTCCATGCATGGAAATGCAAAAACCTCATCTAAACATCTTACCATATCTGAATCTTCCATCCAATTCACACTGTACCAGTCCCCAAGATAAGTCTGCCTTTCTTCATCATAGTAACATGCATAAGATGACTCTTTGGGATTGGCAGCTGTTGTTGCATAAACTGTGAAACAAAGTAATTTTTTATTTTTCTTTTTATTTTGTTAGGCTCCCCCATGATTGAGCACCTTGCTGCACGTGATGTATCTCCCTAAGTGTTTTGGCTTTCACTCTTTTACTTCTAAATAGCAGGAAAGAAAGAAGCCTGTTAGTCAGTCAGCCTCAGTGCTGTTCTAAGAACTCCTTCCTTGCTACCAAACATGTGCTCTGGGGTGTTTAGAAAAGAATATGCACTTCTGAGGGAAAAATCTACTCTAGAAAAAACTGCTGAGAACACTGCACTGACAACCATCTACACAGTAATTTTCTTTATTACAATATAATGGACTTTTCCCCAAACTTAGAGTAAATCCCATGTATCATCTTTTCTTCCAGAAAATGCAACATTCTTAGTAATATCCCATCTTGGATAACACTCTCAGAAAAGCAAAACAAACCTCTGCAACATCTGCCCCAAGCACAGTGTTCCCAGTAAGTTACCTATAACACAATAGACATGCTGTAAACACATCTTTACAGGTATTACAAAAAGCTGTTTTGGCTTTTTGCCAAACTCAACTCCTAGCATACTTGTGTAACTGAAGGAAAGTTCAAGTTTCAAAATGAAAGTGTTAGGTCACTTTTACAGAGCTACAGCATCGTTTTCTAATCAGTGTACCTGAAGTTCAAAAGCCAAAAAACCCCTCTTATATCTTGTCTTTGTAAAGTCCAAGTGCTGTTCTTACCATCCATTATAATGCTTACTAAGTAGACAGTTAAGCTTTTTGGCTCACCATTGAAGGCTGCCCAAGACAGCTTTGGAGTGTAATACATAAATCATCAATTTTCTGCCTTTGTAAGTCTATGGCAGAGCTGGTGGTAAAACCAGAGCTCTCAGATGGAAAATTTCTAGTAGAAAAAATTGAAAAATGCTGATTCACTACTAAGCATTTATTTTGAACAAGTGTCAATATGACACATTGTGTGTACTTTCTGTAAATCCTTTGTAGGGATGTAAGAACCCTGGTGGGTGACAAGACAACATGCTGCAGGGTTAAGAACCAGAAACCCATGGAAAGGCACACAGCTGGTCAACCCTGGAATAACAGATTCAAAACTACAAGCCAGAGCACCCAAGCTCCCTGCAACAGAGCAGCAGTTTGAAAAGGCTGTGATTCCTCACATCCTACTCAAGGCTGAGCTCACAGCTTTGCAGCAGGAAGCTTAGAAACCCTGAAAAATCTTGAGTTCCACTTCCTGGGGTATTGGGCAAATGAGCATGGCAAAACTGCCTGTCTAGGATGTCTACCAAGTGCCTTTGTTACTCAGTGAAACTGATGGCAGGAACTTGACACCAGCACTGAGGCTGTCAAATGTCAGTAAAACTTAACTGCTACCAGTCAAGGGTAACCACATAGTTCCTGAAAAGAAAATACTTTTTCAGCTTCTCATTTGTAAGAAACTGAAAGCCCTGATAAGTCTTTATGAGATTATATTAACTCCTTAACAGGAACCTCCTATAAATGGAAAATATTATTTTCTCTAACACTTCTGCTTCCCTGCTAAAACTGTAAAATGTCTTGAACATATCCTTGACAGAGTAACTTGTTAGGTCCTGCCTGTGACAAGTTGCAACATTCACATTGTTAAGTTAACTGATTGCTCACCATTTATATTATCAGGCAAATGATTCATCATAGATCCAGACTCGCAGGCTTCAATGTAAAACACCATCTATAAAATAAATCAGACCTTAAGCATTTCCATAAGGAGAAGGAGAAAAGTCCTTCAGTGCTTTTCAGCTGTAGCTAGTTGACCTGTACGCTATCCCTGAAACAAAAAGTTTCCACAATGCTACAAAATAAAACACAAAACAAATAGATTAATTTTTCCTTTTGGAAATTAAACTACGTGAAAAGGGGAAACAATCACAATTAAAAGATGCTAAGAATCTCTACAGAATCCACAGGGATTTACTGAGTAACAAAACACACGACAAATCAGAGTCCTTCTTTAGGCACAGCAATGTATGATTCCTGAATGTAATATTTCTGAAACGAAGAGCCAGCCCCTATTGGTTCCATGTACGTAGGAACCAATGTGTTCCTAAATACAGCAAATTATAGTGGACAGATTACCACAGAAAGTTGTTTTAAACAGGCAAGCCACTAAAATATTCTAAATATTAGGTTTTCTGCTTGAAATTACTTGTGATGAAACAAATGCACAGAATTCTCTGGCAGGAGGTACAGTCTCTCAAACATTAGTAACTGTAAGAGAAACATGAGGTATAGACAAACTTCCTGTACAGTGCAGTTTGAAGTCAACAAAGCACAGGAAGAACAGGTCAGGTATTGAGGGTGCTGGCAGTTACAGATGCTGTTTCTCCATCTTTGGTCAGAATATATACTGTATCAAAAGGCAGCACACTGTGTCTCAACCTTGACTGCAAATAGACAGTAAACTGAAAGTGGAAAAAGAACATTTTGAGAGGATCAATCCTTGTAAGTGCAAAATTCTAATCCAATTTCATTGAATGGCAGTATCTTCCTCCTGCTTTAAATGACCCTGAAAATGAAGATAAATCTCTTCCATGCCAGCTGCTCTTTTAATCTCAGAACTTCTGATATGCTTGCTTACCTTCCGGTATTTTCTGTGACGATACATGTACCAAATAGTCTTATTCAAGTCCTTCACATGAAGCTGTAAAATAAGAAGGTTTGTATTAAAACCACGTATGTTCAACAGACACACAATTCACTTAATAGGAACAACATGAGTGTTGAATGTTTCCTATTAAATATATACAGTACTTTGCCTTTCTGAAATACAATGTTCTAGTATTTACCACTCCAGAAAATATGAGCCATGGTTCCAGATGATCTATACAGTGCATCAGAGAGCCAGGTCATACCTGTGTGAAGTAGTTTGCTTGGACCACCAAAGTCCAACAAAATATTAAATGACAGAACTTTATTTCAATTTGAATGCTTCATATTCAAACTGGAACAAATCCAGACTGGGGTGATGAGGAGAACATTGTGCCTTTACTGCCTACTCCCTCAATATGGCAGCATAACAAATATTTGTATTTTAAATATATGACTTATTATTTTAGTCTGTCACTATAAGAATGCTTTACAGAAACAAAGTAACCTTCAAAAGTGCTTACATCGTCTTCAGGAAAAGCCAGAAGTCCTGGAGCTCCATGGTCAGTGAAATAAACAAAGACATGATCCTTGGGGCCACTGTAATGAAAAAATTGCAAACAAATTCTTTCTAACCAGTCCAAATTAATCTTCATTACAACAACAACGATCTGCTTCTTAATGCCAAGACACATCAATATTTGGAAGTAATACAGCTGAAGCACCTCCTTTTCTTAGTGGTATTTTCTCCTCCTAAAGCACACTGCTTTGGGTGCTTGTGTGAGGAGACAAGTGTCTGCAAAAAGGAAGGCAAATAGGAATACAGGCTAGTCCCTCAAGCATAGGGAATACAGCAATTACACTTCACATTTCAAACTGCAAAATGATTGCTGGTTAGGGAGGGGCTGGTATGTTGAGTTTGGCAGGAACACAATTGTTTTTTTTACTGTCTATCTGAAGAATTTGTTATACTGTGGACATTTGTAGCAGTTTGGTAAAAGGAATGTTTTTGTAACTAAGTTATACTGAGGCACCAATAATACAGGGATAAACCATAAAAAGTTCTTTGATAAGATCCCTGTTGTTATCTGTATGGCCATACTTAGCCAAATCAGCCTCAGAAGAACCCTCAGTGGGTCACGCACTGCATGCTCACAGGCATGGATTCCCTAGCATCTCTGTAGTCCATTGTCTGCCATAGGTTTTTATTGCACTCTAAATCAAACAAATAATGTTTGGGTGATAGGTCTTGCACTAACAACCATCTCTGAACAAGGATTTTGCTTTTATCTGTTCAGGGACGACTAAAGACAAAATGACGTGAACAGATTGGAAGGAGATCCCAAGCACCCCTCCACTGCTCTGTATCAAGTGGTCCACAAATCTGTATTTCCTCTTGCTCTTTCCTGACTGCGAAGAGGTACAACTGCAGCAGCTCAAGGGGACACTGTCCAGCCTTTGCCTGGCCAATAAGCTGCTGGTTAGGGAATAAAGTGGAAGCAATCTACAAGCCTTTTGGACAGACAATAATGAGTTCCTGTCCCACTCAATAGCAGAAGTCAGGCCAATTAGAAATTCAGACAAGAGAGTCTAACAAAGAAAGCTTAAGTGTTATTTTTCTGGCTCCCACTCTTGACCCTAAGTGCAAAAAAATTGATTCAGGTGAAATGTAAATAACTAAGACTTTATGTGGGTCCCAGCTGTCTCTCCTGAGTAGCTAAGAGTCTTTAGCCCTCTGCATAGCCAATCCCTTATTTAATTTGTAACATCAAGCTTTCACAGGTAAGGTATGTTCTCAAGTACTTTTTTTTTTTTTAAACAAAAAGTGCTTTAGAGTCACCACTTGACTCATTCCAGCTACTAGAAGAGAACAATCTAATAACTGTGCAGCAGTTTAGTAACTTTTTGCCTGCATGCCTTGCATATATCCTTTTCTATCAAAGCTTTTCATGATGAAGTTTAAAATACTGAAAGCAATAGCTTATTCAACAACTGTTGTGCTCCTTCATTTCTATTCTTCCCAATGCCAGGGCGTGATTATTCTTTTCTGTTTCATTGCTTTGTCTCTAGAATTAAACTGTCAGATGACAACAAATACACATTTTTTCTTTAACTAGGTTATTCTTTCCAAAAGGTCAAATTTAAATTCTTAAAAGGTTTTACAGGAAATACTACACATAGAAAAATACAACATGTAACTGTTGAACTGCAGTACTGAGTCATAAACAGATCACACCTCAGAAAATAGGCATAATATAATAAAATCATACTTTCAAAATGTCAAACTCTGTAAAAGCAAGATAAATAAATGACATCAGGCATCTTTCCAAGAGGCTTTCTAATTAGGCCCTCAAATTTATTGCTTTTATTCTTGAATCGCCTAAATTGCATAAGGTTTTGTAAACTACCTCCACTAATCATAGATCTTACATTCTGCTTAGCCAGTCTACAATTTATTATTGTTCATGTATTAGAACACTGACAAACTTAATCATTTGTGCAACTTAGTTTACAAATACCTGAAGCACAATATATCAATTATCAGGTTAATTGCATATACAACTTTTTTTAATCACAATGTTTTTTGCATCAAACTATAATCCCATTTCATTACATTCAAAGCCTCAATAACCTTACATCTGACAAAAAGACCATAGCTAGGATTAGACATGCAATTCTTTCAGCTGATGACCTGTTTAAACTACCTCTGTCCCTCTGCTACTGATTGCTAAGTCTCACCAGTTCAGGTGACTGATACAACTGCTCACATACATTAAGCCAAGCTTCAGCAAACCCCTTCTAGATCTCTCCAAACCTTAATAAACTCTAGTTCAATAGCCAGTCTTGCAAAAGACAATGGTTTAAATAGCAAATACCTTAATATAGTTGACACTATCCTCTAGAGACTTCATAACTTAACCTATACTGGACCCCATACCAGACAAATATCAGCAGTTGCTTCTTGGTATTGGACAGTTTAAGAAACCAGAACCATTTTATTTCTAATGTGAATGACCTGGAATTACCATCAATAGTCTTGCCAAATTCTCAGGTTCCTTGTTTTGTTGAAATCAGTGCCAACACACAACTACACATGCAACTATTTTCTAAATAAAACTTCTCTTACCTTTTCAATACTTTTCCTGATCCCACCCCCTTCATCGCCTCTGCATCTCCTCTGAGAATAGCAAGGAAATTCTTTGGAGTGACATCCTAAGGATTTAAGAGGATTACAGTTAAATCTGATCATACAAACAACAAAATCTTCATTTAGAAAGTTGGCTTCAGAAAGTCAGAATCCATGCATGGATGACAAGTTTAGCTGGCCATCCTTTCCAATCTATCATTATATCATCTACTAGCCACTGATGTCTCACTCAGATCCTGAATCATGAAATCACCATGTGGTGGGAGTACTGTTCTGATTTTAATGAAACAATCTTACACAGCTATTTTTCAGATTGAGTTACAACATTTAGGAATGCAAGACTTTTATTTTACGTGCCAACACAGAAACAATATGTTTGTTTTTATGACCACTGCTTCACTTCAAATAAACATTCATATTAGGAACATCAAACTTTATGCCAAAGCATGCAGGCAAATAAGATGGAAGCTTTGTACTATGTGCATTTTGGAGTGTAAGCTACAGGCTGGACACCAGCTAATGCTGAATCTTCCCTGGGAAATGGTGTTTCATTCTTACCTCCTTTGTATAATCCTTGGGCACTCCAGCATACACATCTGAGCCATTAGGTCTATTGATGACAATGCCTTTTGTTGGATTTCTGAAAATTAAATGGAACATAAACGCAAATAATTAGTCATGTGCCATTCAAGGGCCACAAAAAAGTAGGAAACCATGTAAACTGTCCAGACTGGCCAGCTTGCCTGAGAAAGCACACAGGTACCTTCCACCACACATTGTTAAAGTGATCTCAGAATATAATGTCCTTTCCAATTCTGTCAAGTTACACCTGCTTGCCTCAGGTGTCCTTACCCTCAGAGTACCTTCTAGTATCCCACCTTAGATCATGTTGCTTAATCTGAAGATAGATGGGTGGTCTCTTATACTATCATTGTTCTACTTTCAGTCTTGCCTTTAGTCTCCTTTATTCTTTGCTCCCAGTGGTGCTGTGCATGAGAAGTCTGCTGATGTCTGCTGAAGTTGTCTCAGAATTAGAGGCTGCATAACTGGACTGTTTCAGATAGAAAGCAATTACATGCTCTGGACAGTCACCAGAATGGGACATGTACACTTTCTTGATGAACGTATGTTCTGGGAATAAATCTAATAATGTCCTTTCAAAAATACTCATGCAAGTCATACCCAGAGCTTCCCTATGTTTGTGGGTTTAGGCTGTTTATCTGCTGTCAACTGTTCTTATGCCTGAGAGTTAGTATCACTTACACTTTACTCTCATAATGATGAAGCTCTGAAGTCTTCAGCGTCACAGCTGATAATAAGTTGTGGAGTAAGGCTTAGAAAGCTCTTTAGCACATTTCAAAGGTGAATTATTGTGCTGATGGATAAAACACCTCTATGCATATCAGAGATGGTTTTGAAGGCTTTTCTTACAAAACTACTACAAGATCAAAATAGATTGGGGAGTATAGCATATTTGCTATAACCATATAGCTTGTGACTAGTGCATGTTCATCACTTACTCATCATTATCAGCAATGTCATCATACATCATGACAATGATCTGTTCATCTGGAATTCCATTTCGGTGTACAATCTGGTATGCGTGGCACACATCTGCCTGAAATTAAGCAGATTTTCATTACTAGCTTTAAGAGAGATTTTGCATTTGAGAACAGAAGAAATATAGTTTTGCAGGCCAAAGAGCAGGCTATTGTCCAAAAGAAACTGCATTTAAATATAAAGGGTAGCTAGAGGGCTGAAATGCACAGGTTAAACCAAAATGCAATGCTTTTCTCTGACTAGAAGTAGGTGCATTAATAAATGAGACTATTATTAACATCTCTCTCTTACCTATTTTGATTTAGTTAAACAGAAACCAGAAGTTACTTTAGGCTTGGTAGAGATAACAAAATTTAACAAATGGTTCTGTGACAAAATCTAAATATAAACACAGACAAATCCAAAGTGTGCTAAGCAGAAGAATAAGAGAGCTGGATTTCCACCAATTTCAATCACCACCAAGTTCTGCACCAAACCTGCATGACTCAGCATCAAAGACTGTCCTTGGCTTAATCCAGTATGGCTTACTAATCTCACCTCTGCAAAGATTGTACTAAATTTTGTTTTACTAGATGAGAATTTTAGTCAAGGACAATATCCTTTTTAAATTATGCATTTCTTACATAGCAATACTGAAACAACATCAGGGCAAGAAAACAGTTCAGTAGAAAACAGAATGCAGGATTTCTATTCAGGGTCTTTTCCTGGCTTGTACACAATACAAATAAGCAGATTTTCTTTACAGAACCATCTTCCCATGGCACAGAAATAACATCACTCAAAGTCATTTTACAGTAAATGCAAACCTCTATCAGAATGCTAAATTCTTAGTAACCCCAGCCCAAACAAGGCTATTTTTATACTTGCAGTCTGTGAATGACCTAATGGGATACCAACAATCATTCCTAAACTCCAGAACTACAACCTATCACATGCTAGAAAAGCTGTGCAGATTTAATTGAAGAAATCTGTTCTAACAAATGCATATTCCAAATGCAGGCAAGAAGCAAGCTTTAAAGCTTACATTGGTTGAACTAATCTAATTTGCTAATTTGTAAGCCATACTGAAGTAGTTTAAGTGGACCTATGACCTCAGATGACTGAGGAATCGTAGTGATTTTTTACTACTTTAACTTAAAGGACACTGTAAAATCCTGTCACTTCCCTGGTCCAAGCCTAGCTGAAGCTGAAAAGAGAGAGTAACTGTGCAAAATCCTGGGAAGGGTAAGGCACAGCAAGTATTTTCACATGACTAACCCTGAAGTTAAATTGTCCTACTACACCCATCATCCTATGTTCTCTTCCACCTGTCCCAGACTATCTCCACTGTTTAGTTTCCCATTTCCTTGTATGGCATTACACCAGCTGCTGCCTCAACAAGTCAAAAGGTTAAAGAGGGTTACAAAGGCACCACATATAATAGGAATCAGCAGAGCACAGGTCTGACTAAACAAGTATTTGGTTTTCAGAAGCAACCTAAGCAAAAGTAGAAGAACACACTAACTGAAGCATCTCTGCACTGATTGATAATTAGATCATGGATCCCCTCCCACCCTCAAGAATTAATACACTTGTGTTATGCTCACAGAAACAGCATAGGTTGGAAACACAAGGAAATGCTTAGACATACTATAGTGGCATAATAACATCTTCCTCAACCAACAAGTGTCTGTGCTCCTATAGACATGTGGCTGGCCAGTAGAGACTTCAGAGGTGTTTTTAATTAATACCAAAGTAGCCAAAATTAGTTGAACTTTGTAAACACATAACATCCACTTTTTGGTCTCCTCTCCTTTCTTCCAGCTCACTGGCTTGCTCACTATGTCCTGCCATACTTCGAAAACAGCAATGCCTGGTGGTAAATTTAATGGCAACTATACCAGCGGGTAGCACAATTGTATCACCAACACAGGCGAAGTAGCAAAGCCATGTTCTGCTGCTAAAATTCCATTGACTAAAGTAGGACAGTTCTAAGTAAATGGTTGGGGTTTCGTTGTTTTGGGGTTTTTTTTTGTTTTGTTTTGTTTTTTAATTGAGTTAGATTACCTGACTGGCCACCTCTGATGCTGGTCATACAGTGTACATGTAAAAAACACAACAAGCTCTATAAAACCACAATAGGAAAAGTGCTGCAAGAGTAGGGAAGAGTATGTGAATCTAGAATATTTCCTGTTGATGTGTAACTGCCTCTCAAGTACTGCTATTTGAGTGCTGTTTCTTCCAGAAATATTTCTGGCATAGCAGTACATGGAAACCACCCTGAAAGAGCCAGCTAATATTGTTCCATGTCTCTCATTGGTATTATTCTTGTTGGTTTAGTATGTGAAATTAACACTATGAACATTTAGTGGATTAATCATCACTAAATGCAAACCTTGCTTCTGTGGCCATGATTCAGGGTAAGGAGCAGCTGCCCTGCACAGTACAGAACAGAAACTGTACAGCTACTGCACAACTGCCCTCACATGCCAGCACCAAAATGGATGCTCTTAATGGCATGCTTCAGACCTTTTTTCCCCTGTTTACTCTAAACCTGTGTCGAGATAAGCAAATAATTCCACCTCTGATCCCCATGCTTTCAAAATCTTTTATCCTAGGATGGGCATTTTGGGTGAACTTTTAAAAGGAAAACAACAACATCCCAACTTTTCTATGCCATACAGCTGTTTCCACATTTGAGTGACACAGTTTTCAAGAAGACTGCTTGGAGCAGGGACTTTTCAAAAAATCAGATTGTTTAATGACACATGCATGCATAAGTAATTCCTTAAGGGGAAAGCTTGGACTTCCGTGAAATTGGTTGCTTCTGGTCTTATGACTGTTAGGTTTATGGCTAAAAAGCATGTGTAACGAACATTGCAAAGTGACACTGACACCATTCCCTTGACAAGTACACTGAAATGTCACTGCCTAAAAAACAATAGCGTCTAATATATAAGCATAGTGAAACAGTAGGTCTGAAATGCCAGCCACACTTCACTCCCTTGACTAAGTATACATCAGTGAATCAGCCAAAAAACAGTAACTGTATCAAGAACTTAGGAATGGCTTCTCTCGTAACTTATGAACATTTTGGAAGCACAGTGATGAAATATTAATTGAAGCCAAGTAGCCAAGGCATTCTTAATGCTACCTGCAAGACTGGAGAATTTAGCAAATTTAGTCCTGGGCTGAGATATCACACTGGTTGACAGTGTCCAAAGCCCTGAATAAATGCAGTCCCTGGCTCATAAAACTCAGTAGAGTGTAAAACTAAAAACAACTGGAAACAGACCCATATATGTAAATGCAAATGTTTTTGTTCTCAGCATTTTAATTTTGCCAGACTTTTTCAGCTATTTTTCTCAAGTATGTATTCCATCTTTAGTAAGGTTGTGTTTCATATCAGGCTTTTCCATTGACTATACCTTTTGAGGATCCAGAAAGTATCCAGAAAGTGTCTCTTTCTGATGTGTTTGTGAAGCCAGCTTTAGGTTTGAGTCAGCTGGTACTATGATCTCCCAGGAGATGCAGAAGTATATATACAAAATGTTGTTTCTCTTAAGAACTAGTTTTTTAGCTCATTCTCTGTATCTACCAGCAGTATCTAGTGTTGTATTTGCTCATGTATGTCACTAAGCTTTCCAGAGATATATCATTTAGCTCTATGCACAGAAGAGAGCTGAGCCACTGACCCAGGGAATGGGGGGAGTACTCTTAGTGTTTAGTTGCACTTAGGGAAAAGCAGCCAGTCCAGTACTAAAGAAATTGTTACAGGGAAGTCAGAATAACTGCTGAGGAGCAGAGAGCAGCATGTCGATAATCCTTCCACAAACCAAGCAGCAACTCTTCTCAAAAACACTACGATATGGGTAAAAACACCAAAGAACTGAGAAGCCACAAGCATAAAACAATGCACTACCTAGCTTTGCCAAGACCAGAAGCCTATCACATTGGGTTATACAGTCTGATTCAAAACAATTTAATTTAGGAACTTGAAAAGTGTAAGTGTGTAAGACAAATTTAAACCATCCTAGTTAGGAAAAGACCCAGCTAAACCAATACAGAGGAAGTGCGTGCCTGCCAAGTGTGAATCTCACTCATAGATAAGTGCAAATGGTGGTTTTCTCCTTATCTTGTCGACATTTGAGGTTTGCACCACAGATAGTGGATCCCAACTACTGACAGCTGAATTACAAGTCTTAGGAGGAGTTTCAGATTCCTTGTGGCTACAGGTGCAGACTCCATGCTTACATGGTCTGCACAGTCTTTACAAACTTAAGCGAATTAGAGGAGAACGTTTTATTCTGCAGTTTCTCCATTGAAAGGCAAATAATTACACAGATCTGCACCCCTCGAGCACTGCTTTGCTTTCTGACAGTACAGGCAATATTCCATTAAAAAATAACATATTTCTCCATGGTAAACACATGCAATGACTTCCATGATGGATTGAACACAGAACTCAAAAGGCCAAGTCCTACTCCTGGTTCCACTGCAAGGCTCACTGACATAAAGGTTAGGTCCATACTTGGGCAATTGCAGAAAAGGAATTATCACGAGGCACAGCTTCAGAAGTGTAGGGTTTAAAGAATGAATGTTGCTATATTAATGCCTCCTAGAGTGGAAGGGAGCCAGTGAGACTGGTTATACAGCAATAGCAACAACTAGAGCACAACTCAATAATTATATTTACACACCCAAGGGCAGGCAGTGATGAAGTGCATTAGTATTCTCGTAATTGTTTTCCAATTTCAACTTAAAGGTATTTTTAAAGATTTATTTTGAAATAGGAATAGTTTATATTAAGGCTTAATATTTGAACAATGCTTATCAGGCAATAGACACAGTGCAAGGAGCTGGCAACATTCCTAAAACCTGTTTGTCAAAGTGTTGAGCTTGCATTTGCCAGTAACTTGTTCTTCAGATGCCACAACGTTGTCAACCTGGTTCATTTAGTTTTAAGCTCACTGTGCTGAAAGTTAAAACTGATTGTGAGCTGAGGGGGAGGAGAAACAAACATAAATCCCAGCATGCTCCACACACAGAAGGCTCGTTTCTTCCTCAATCAACACAAATAGAGAGGACAAAGCCTCTCTAGCTTTTACAGACAGTTGCATTAAAAATAATAAATACTTGAAAAATCTGTGTTCAGCAAATCAGCTTTATACATGTATCCCGTACATTTAATAATAGTTATATTTTTAAATGCTGGTTTTGTACACTAGGGTTCCAATCTCTGTACAAGTTTACCTTAACCAACAATAGTCCTGTTTACTATTTTCCTAACATTTATAAATATATAAATGTACACATAAATCAGAATTAAATGGACTATGTTATCCAGGAAAGAAAGAGGTAGCTCCAAGTTTAGAGCAAAGATTGAAATAAAGTGCAGGTTAATCTAAGGGATTACCCAAGAATTCCCCAAAGGGAAAAACTGCCATAGTCTCCTAGCTGCTGCTGCTAAGTCTTGAACTTAGACTTAAGTCACTTGGATTTAATCCTAACCACTCTGACACTTAGTCCACAATTTCACAACACACTGACTTTGACAGCAGTGTCAAACTCAAGAGTTTCTGCTCCCTTTTCTCCTGTTTCTGCTGTTCATTTTGACCCCTGCACCCCAGTGCAGTGAACATACCCTTCTTGTGCCAACACAACTCTGCAGACATGCTGTTGATCAGAGCTAGCAAACTGATGCAGGTTAAAAGGAAACCACTTCTGCATGCCCTCCACCCCAGAAAAACATATGCTGCATTTTCAGGCTTTGCAGATTTTCTTTAAGTGAGAGAGAAGGGAGCTTTTTCATAACATGAGAAAAACTAATGGAAAGAAACATGCATTTGTCTCAAAATGAGATTTAATTCAAGACTTCATTTATTCACCTGCAAGTTGGGGTCAGATCCTCTAGCCTAGTAACAGAATATTTAACCTAAATGATACAGGCCTCCCAGGATGCAGAAGCATGGTTAGAGGAAGAATACTGCTCCTCCTACTAATGACAGCTTTTCAAAAGATATACAAATAGCAAAAAGAGCAGCAGAAGAGAATTTCTGGGGTGAGAATGACAAGAATTAAGACTGGGCTGTGAATGAATCTTGTTGCTATTCATTTGAAAGCTGCACACTCCTGCAAGTCTAGAAGTAGCAGCACTTGCCCAAATGACAGAAGGACTGGACTAGCCTAAGCAACTTTCATCTCCCTACAAGTCCCACAGCAGTCATTTTCTGGAGCATGGCCAGCATCAGCATGAGGGACAAGTGGTCCTTACCTGGTGTCGATAGTTGTACCAGCCATTCGAACCTGCCACAATCACCACCCAGTGCTTGCCTCCATCTTCCGGTTCTTCCATGGGAAATGTGCTGATGCCCAGAGCACAGCACAGCAGCACAACTGCTTTCACTATCATCTCTTCACTTTATTTACTCCACAGGTGTGAGGGGAGAAAATTCCTAATGAAGAAGTTTGAGAGAAGTAGATCAGAGGACATTAGTCAAAAACAAATGTAGAACAGACAACTAGAAGCTTTTCTTGCTATTGAGATGGGTAGGATTTTTTTTGGTTTTGTGTGTTTGCTAGACCATACAACCCACAGTACAATTTCTAGTCATATCTTCCTTTAGTACCAAAGCTGCTGCTAGTTATAAGAATTTTCTGTCAGCTTTCAAATCTGACTGAAAGCAATTCTGAAAAGGACAACCAAGTCTTGCAGCTCCCTCTGGTTGTTCGGTTCTATAAGAGCTGGTAATGAATAAGCCTCAAATACAGAGCAAGCCTCACTATCAAGTATTTCACAGATAAAACTATAACTTGTTCAGATTAATACTAGTCTCTGCTTATGTAGTTCACTGGTCTCCACTCACTGACAATTAGCCTGTTATTACTAAGTCAAATCCTAGGTGATGTAGGCATAAGGATGCACGGACAAGGAGAACTGCTTGGTAGTTGGAAGGTCAGTGTCACAAAAGCTCCCTGTGCCTGCAAAGACAGCAAAGGTGGAGAGAGGCTGTGCCACTGTTCTGCACAAGATGCAGCACTAACTGCTGGGGTTGGGGGAAGTGCAGACTGTGAGAGTCTCATGCTATTTGTGCAACCTGTTACGCTAGCTGAGAGCAAATATGACCCAGTACCACATGAAAGAGTAGCATTTTCGTCTCTTTTGCACAATGGTTAAGTGTTTGCACAAGGTGCACAGCAAAAGAATCAGGCCTGAGCCTGTGGATGTCAAATTCTCAAATTCAGAAAAGCAGAGCCTGAGAGGAGGTTTGAGGCCACGCAGAAATTGCTCTTTCTGCTTTCTTGAGAGGACTAAAAGTAGTAACCCCACTCGTGAGCTTCCTGAGCACCTTGATCTTCTGATAAACTGCTTGCTCTAAAAACTATCTGGTCACATCTAATCAAAGGTTCACTTTTGATGTTTTGGGGTTTTGTTGTAATTTTGTTTTGGGTTTGGTGCTGGGGTTTGGGATTGCTTGGTTGGTTTTGGGGATCAGCCTATGTATATTTGTCACAATCTTAGGTTTGATGCATCCAACATGTAACTCAAAGCAAACTTCTCTGAAGAATTGCATGCTCTTGGCACATGCACGAAGATTGCACATTTCCTCACACACTGACAGATGGGATTTTACACTGACCTACTTCAAGAAGAGAGATTCCAGAGGTTGATCATCACTGCTCTGTAAGAGGTGTTGTAGTAAGAGGTGGAGTAGTCTACTTGAGCTTGATTTCCTCTTAAATAAAAGCTGGAAACTCCCAAACCACAAGAGACAGTCAGAAGGCACAACGTCAAAGCTACCACTAAACCAAGCACCTGAATGGTATCAAAGTCAGCTTCAGTTCCTCAAGGCCAAAACCATCCATCTGCAGCCACTCAAATGAGACTGAAACAGAAGTAGCCAGCTCACCTCCAAAGCAGCTGTGTACAGTAAAGACCACTAACTTAACATGACGTACAGGTTGCTTCAAGGCTGGATCTACTGGTCACCAATATTAAGTCCTGCAGGCAGTAGTATGAAAAATATATTATATATGTTTGGAAGTAGGTGGGGTTTTTAATGGCACTAGTACAAGAAGTCATGTTTGCATATCAGCTCCCACATAAGAGCTGTTACTACACAGAAAAACTCCAGAACAGAACAGAAAATACAGAACCCAATGTTAAGAGCTATGACACTGCTTCTTCCAAAAACTCAGTTGAATCTATGAAACTTACCTTTCAGGAATAAGCCACTCCTGTCACTGCCTGCAAGCATGAGATTTGGGAGCAAGAACAATACATACATAATGCAACAATTTAGGATTTGTTGAAGAATTAGCTACTTCAACAGTTAAGTATATATGAAGAAACAAGCAGAATTTTTATGCTGTTTGATAGACAATTACAATTTCTCATGCTGAGTTGGAAATGTAAATTCTTCTTGTCATCAGTAGCAGGTGGCTTTGTATGGCAACTCTGCCTTGTCTATCTTGTCACTTCTGATGATGATGAAGGCAAATAACAGAAATTACTGTGGTGAAGATATACTGTGCTTACAACATCCACAAAACCTGCCTATTCTGTTGCCTGCAGCACAGTTAAGATTCAGACCAAGTTGCTTAAAACTTTGGTGAATTGCCACAATATGCCATGGGCCAACAAGCCAGTTCATTCCCAATATTTACTTTCAGTATATCTAACTCTACAAGTTTAAGACAAGAAAAGAAAATCTATGTATTGTAGTTAAGATCTCTAAACAAATAAACTGAGTTTGACTTACTGGAGTATGGAGTGGAATTCCATGCAAAGAGATCAATCAGAGCTCAGTATCTGTTTCATAAGAAACAGCTTTTTTCAATGTTCATTAAAGCATAACTTCTCATTTCTCCAACAAAAACATTACTTATATCTACATGAAAAATACATGAGCTGTTTGATACATAGGTGTAGCAGGTACCAGCCACCAGCCTGCAAACAGGCCCACAACTGAAGAGCCCAAGGCTGGATAAGGAATGAAGAGTTAAGCTATCAAACGCCTCAGGAGTCCCTCCATGAGAAGTTCAAGAGCCTCAAGATACCCAGATCCTCAGATTTCTCAGCTCTGCTGAGACAAAGCTGTAAATGATGCAGAAGGCCAGAAGGAACAAAAAAAACCCAACCAAACAACAACTAACAAACACAAACCAACAAAACAAGCACCAAGGAACATTTGCCTTGCATTAGAAAACTGCATGTTTTGTCATAGGTTATTGTATAAAAGACAAGGGTTTTGCCTATTCTATAATTAATGACATGTTATCCCACTTATCTGTCTTTTCCTAGACTATGATCAAATCAACTTAACACCAAAGAGAAGGTTAAACAACCTAGATATACCACAATTAATAAATGCTCAGCTCCCCAAGGTTCTCCAAGCAGCATTTAAAATAGTTTAACCATTAACCACATGTGCAGCAGAAACAGGTCTTTCATTGCTTGTTTCCAACAACTAAACAAATAAACCCCAAAACACCAATATTTCTTCTTTTAAAGGAAGTCTTTGAGTGCTCAGGCAGGCAATTTAAAAGATTGTGTTTTGGGTTGTGTTGAATGAGTCCCTGACCTGCAGTTAAGCAGAGAAAATTCCTGTCTTCCGGTCATATTGAGAAACCAGCTCAGCTGACCAGCTTACCCCTGGTACATAAAAAGCCTTTTTCTGAAAGCAAGGAATCAAAGATCTGTCACATATGATTCTAAATGCATGCAGAGTGAGACTGCATGGAAGAAACAAAAATTCACTACAAGATAATTTTATACGTTTGGCTGACCCCAAAAAATATGAGATTATTGATCAGCTCTGCCCAGTCTTTCTGGTAGAAGAGTTAATTAACTTTGCTTGGGAAACCATGTGAGGAAAAATGCACATCTTAGACATCATCATCTACATCAGTTATACAGACACTGAACCACACATGTACACACACAGGTAGGCTGTAGTGCACTTTGCAGTCAGAACTTGGTGGCTCCTCCCAGAACAATTCCACTCAGCTCCTACAAGCTGCTTTTCTCACAAGGGTACCTTGGCCACTTCCCACTACATGGCTAGCAGACATTTCTAACTTGGTAAGAGCGGGATGCTTAAAAAAAGACCACAGGTGGAAGTTGCCAACTGCTGCTACAACCATTCCTCTGGTTAGCAGCCTGTTCCCCAAGTTCCCACATTCTCTTTGGGAGAACAGTCCATTAATTATAGAGTTATAGAATCATAAGGGTTGGAAGAGACCTATGAACATCATTAAGTCCAACCCCTCTGCTACAGCCGAAACACCTAGGGCAGATCACACAGGAACGTGTCCAGACGGGTCTGGAAAGTCTCCAGAGAAAGAAACTCTGCAACTTCTCCAGGCAGCCTGTTCCAGTGCCCTGTGACCCTAACAGTAACAAAGTTTTTCCTCATGTTCAGGTGGAACTTCCTGTGTTGTAGCTTGGTGCCCTTTGAGTTGATGTCAACACTTCAGTCATGAGCTCAAAATACCTCAAGCACAGCCCCTAAGAAACCATGTTTCTGTTTTTTCTTCACCTAAAATAAATGAGTGAACAGTAATCTTGAGGGAAAACAACAGCCTTAAGCTAATCAGCAATGATTCCACTTTTTTCTTGCAAACCTCTATTTCTTTCCAGTTTTCCCACACAGAGCTTGCATATTGCCTGTGATATTTAGATTCCAATTTTCACAAAACATGTGACTCACAACAGCCCTCCTCACAGGAAACTAGTCTGTAGCTCTCTGTCAGAAATATTCTGCCTGTTTTCCTGCTGCTACACAAACTAAAGCACCTAAACCCGTAATCAAGACCCTGTGGAATTAGTCTTATTTTCTTTATGCACTTGTGGGATAGAAAGAAAACACCTCTCACAATGTAAACTCTGATAAAAGTACATTTTGAAGGAGACTATGGTCTCCAATGCAAAATAATTCTTTACAAAGTCTACTAGTAACCATTTTATGAATCTTCTTAGTTCGATTAGAACTTGTAGTAAAATAGTTTAGTATAGCTACTGAAGAAGCATAACTCCCTTTTATTGTAAAAAACAAATAAATAAAGAAATAATCTGTGATTATGTTAACCCAGAATACTTTTTTTTTAATTAAACAATTTAGAAGTAATGTTAAACAAACAACAAATCTGCAAACAGTGTAATCAGCTTTCTCAGCAGCAGAGAGATGGCACCATTTACCAGCAGAAACAAAAAATTACAGATAACTCCTTATTCCTCCTAAGATGGTGACAACCTAATAAACCTGGCTCGGGGCTTTTTTCCTACACACTTCAAAAAACCCAGATTCAAATTCATTAGATCTTGAGGCTTCACTGAGACAGGTTCTGCTCTTTACTTCCATACCTGTCTACAAAGCCTCTGCAACCACAATCTGATGGCAGAGAAAACAGCTACGGCAACACTGCATGA